AAAGTAAATGTAGCGAGTACTTTGTTTACATGAATATGTATAAAGTTTACTACAGGAACACATTTCAAAGTTGTGGCGAGTTCACAGAAAAGGAAGTTACAAGAAGGTTACATTTTGCAACAGTGTGTGTGTGTGGACAGTGGACATGTGTTGAATTTGATTCTACACGGAGATGCAAACGTATAACATATGACTACTTTAAACAAATGTTTAAATAATAACATGGAAATAAAATAGACAAATGTAGAGAGAAAAGGTATTAAAAGTTACAAACCGGCGCTGGTTAACATTGGGGGTGAGATTAAGAGGATGATAACATTTCCGACCACGTACTTGGCGTCATGTTTTCATTGTGAGGGATTCAGGGGATATATTAAGGGCTAACCAGAAGTAGTGAAAACGGTGAGAAATTTAAAAGGTATTTAAACTACAACAAGGACATACAAAGGAAAGTAAAACGATACAGTTTCTGTACTGTATTAATAGAACAATTACACACACACAAAGAGAAAACCCGTCCATAGCGATAGGTGAAAATTCAGGGTTCACTCGGTTATGATAGAACGTCACTAGTTTGGTTTTCGATGCACTGAATGTAACCAGCCCCTCCGCACACACGCACACACACATTGAGCTGTTAGAGCTCGTTCAGAGGAAAGATCAGCTGCCAGGCTCTGGTCATCTAGTTTTGGAGGTGCACCCATATACCATTGTATCATTGGCATAAATATTAAAAAATAATTGTAGTTTCTTCTTCGGCAGGTCATTATAATATAGAAAAGGAATCTATAGAGAGCCATGATCGCCTGTTTCTTAAAGAGACATGGCATTTTTAAAAAGTTTAGTTGTCAACTTGTAGAATTAGAACGGGCCCAGCTAGTTATTGGAAGGTTGTTTTTGTTCAGCATTATATCAACCTCTATGGGTTATTTAATGCCAACAACTACATATTTGTTACGTAATTTTATTCTATTTTTGGAAATAATAATGGTTTAGTGATACATATCTTACTAATTAACCTATAGCTGGGAGAGAAGACGTGGATTCAAGTGTATTTGAGCGTAAGTGAATATCACAAACCAAACTGGAATTGGAACTCGTCTCTCCGATTAACAATTCCGAGCCATTATCCATTATATCACCCCCAAATCCAAGCTTATAGCACCTGGTATTCCCAAATGTTCACCTATCTACGACAACGTTACTTAACTTCGGTGATCGTACCGGAACCAATGTTTCAACGTGATATGGTCGTAAGCCCAACTGGTAGTATATAATTTGAGGAGATATTTTAAAGTAAATGAGATACTATAGTAAATGATCTAGTGATTCCTGCTGCTTATTACGTCTGAGTATGGTCATCATTGGCACCTTATGCCTAAACAAAGCTACCTATTGTATTAAATGTAAAGAATAAAACTGATAGTTGAATTCTTTTTATGTCTGGGTCAGTGGCGTGAAATAATGTTTGGGCGTTTGTACTATTTGTTTTTTCATACAAAAGTTATAAGGAAACGTGACATCATTCTTTTATGGAAAATAGTAGCCACATGATTTCTTTCGGTTCTAATCACGAGATATAAATATTTTATTAATTAGTATTAATCAAATTTTAAATCTAAATTAAAAAAAAAAAAAAGGTCCTCATCTGAAAGAATAGTCGTAAGTGAAATGTAATGATGCAAATGTTAGCAAACTTTTATGTCCGAAAAATCGTCATTTTAACACACCGTTTCTTTTTGCGGGAACGAAAGTCCAAATGTGTCTAAATGTTGACGTTAAATGTGTTTTCAGATTAAGAACAAGATTGCAAGTATAGTCCAAAATTTCTTTGGGCTTTGTATTAAAATATATCAACTTTGTTATCTAATACTGAATTCTGCCGTTTCCATAAACTATAGAAAAATAGACATACGGATTCCACGAGAATAAAAAAAGCTAGACAAAAGTTTGGTTTGTACAAGAGTTAAAAAGATAGACACAGGTTTGTTCACAAGAAATTAAAACACAAAGACAGAGGTCAGATTTATACGAAAGTAAAAATGACAAATATAATTAAAATGGCAAACCGGGGGTCTCTTTTTTGGGGGGAATGCTCCTCTTCATGAGGGCGTAAATGACAAGGTATTTTCATAGTGTCTTGCGTTCAATTTCGAAAAATATCCCTAGTAAAGAAATCAATTCTTTTCTTTTCCCTTTTGGCTATGGGTTAAATAACAGAGTAGACTAAGTTCTCTACCCTTGGGTGGCAACCAGTCTAAGAGAAGAAAAACTCTAAATTCGAAGCCTAGGAGATGATAAAAGGAAAACCACTCCACTCTCTCTACCAATAATTCATAGCAAGTCGCTGATAATAAAGAAACGAAATCTGGAGAGCCATGTTCATCTACGTCTTATCGGCCCTGACGTTTCATCTCGGCCTCATTCACTTTCCAGGTTTTAACATACCTTCCCTGTGATTTTTCTACAAATATTTTCATAGCAAATGTTTTGTTGAACTTTCCTCTTTAGTACCTCAACTTCATGAATTTAAGCAGAGCACTAGATTGGCAGCTAGGTCTCATCATTTACTGTACAAATTGCTAAATATAAGCGTAAGATCTATTCTAACAGTTTCTCCTCTCGCACTCCTCCCCTACATAAGTCTCTACCAACTTCTTGTCTTCCTGTTGGCTACAAACATTTAAATACCACGTCAATCGCCATCTTCTCTCTACTTGAAGACTATTCTTTTTACGGTCATTTCTCCCCTTTAACGTTTTCTTAGTTTCCTTCACTCTTTTGTCTTTCATCTGCAGTAACTCATTGCGTCTTAGTGGCTTTATCGCCTTGCTTGAGGTGAAATGATTAAAACATTTATTTTAGAAACCTACAAAGAGTCATTAAAAAGGTGCATACATGATGAAAAAAATGATCAAAACTTAATAAAAATAAAGTTTTATCATTAAAATTATTAAGTGTTATTATTACGAGGAAAGATACTATGATTTTTTTATGTAAAGATTGTTTTTTTAACCTTTTGAAAACATTCAAAATTTTGGTTAAAAATCTTGTTTCTTCTGGTGTCAACGGGAGACAATATGGGAAATTTGAGCGTCCTTTTGCGTTGAAAACGTAGATTTTGAAATCCTTTCAGAAATCAGATAATTGTACGATTTTAATGAAACTTTCAAGACTAATTCACAAATGAAAATATACAAAACAATATTTGTTTTAATACAGATTAATTAAAATTTAAACCAGATAATATTCCTCAAATAAAGTTTCAGAAAAGTATATTTTATTTTTTAAAGATTTTTTTAATAAAGAGAATCGTGCTAACAGATTTGTCAATATGGACGATTTTAGCGATTTTACTGATAAGCAACAACTCCAACACTCAGAATAGAAAATTACCAAAAATCAGGGAGTTATTCACATTTCGTAAGTGCAGATGATATTCGAAGTACTTACAAGAAATTTTTTACAATTTAAAAATTTTTTATCGGGGTAAGCGCGAATGTTAACCCCACACTTAGAAATAGCGCACCCGAGTCGCCCACATTTGGGGCGATCACAAAGGTCAACCCAACTGGAGTGCAATGGAAGGGCCTCGCTCTGGGAGAACAAAAAGTTACGGACAAAACATGAAGAATGGAAATATTTATTTTTCTTTTATTTATTTGCTTTTGGTAGAAAAAGAAAGATGAATTCAATAATCTTCAAAAAACGACTCATTTCGATGGATTCTAATGACTTTCCACAAAATTACCGAATATAAAGGTGAATTGAATATTCAATATTATCTTGTATTTACTGGGCATTAAGGAAATACAAGTTAATTTCCAATACAAATTCGTGGGAACGACCATGAAACAAATTTGTTTCAGGGGAAGCCGAAAGGAAATAATAATATATGAATAATAAAATGACCTAGATCAGGTTTTTTTTTGTTTTATATATAGTTGAATTTAATTAACTTTTTGCTGATAACTTATCCCTCAGTAAATGGACAAACATTAATAGGGATCTTTCCCGTTAATTCACTCCACCCAAAATATTAAATTAATTTGGCCCAAAATAAAAAGAATTTATATTTACTAAAAATTCACACCAAATTCTCCCAGAGCGAGACCCTTCCATTGGACTCCAGTTGGGTTGACCTTTGATCTCCCCAAATGTTGGCGACTCGGGTCCATTATTTCTCTAAGTGTTGGGTCAACGTTCGCGCTCACCCTAATAAACAAAGCAAAAACAATTTTGTTTTTAAATTGTAAAAAAGTTCTTGTAAGTACTTCGAAATATCATCTGCACTTACGAAATGTAAAACTCCCTGATTTTTGATAATTTTTCATTCTGGGGTTGTTGCGAGGCAAGCTAAATAAATTTTGTTTTAAAATTTATAGTTTCAGAGTACCAAAAATAAATGTAATAAAAACAAATTTTGATTTAAAATTTATAATTACAAAAAATTAATGAAAAGTTAAAGTGAAATTAAAGTTTAATTTCACTTTAACTTTTTTTCATTAATTTTTTAAATATTAAACAAACTTTGATTTAAAATTTATAATTTCTTGGGTGAATTAATATTTGTGATAAGTAACTTTTTATTTTTTTACATTATTTGGGGTGAATTAAACAGAAAAGATTCCATTGTAGTTGTTGTATTATGCTTGTAAAATATAGATCTTTTTCTTTTGTTAGAAATTTTTTGTAATTGTTAGTTGAGAAACGTCGAAATAGATTTTTGTGTCGCTTCAGCGTGAATGCTGACCTCTCAGTTGAACGCCTAACAATCATTACGTGTCGAATTAATAACTTCTAGGAAATAAGTTCCCGGAAATCCTGCTAGCTAGAATCATAAAAATACATAGTCACGCTCTTTTTTGTTTTTTTGGTGTTTTATTCCTTTTGGGCTTCCATAGTTTCTAGCCTGCTGTATATAATACCAAACCTCCGTCGTTTCTTCTCAGTACATCGTTTGTTTTCACTGCTAATCTTGCGAGAAGAGAAAGACAATCATGGCAAAAGTTCAGCTCGGTTACTGGAAAATTCGTGGTGTAAGTTTTTATTCTAGTCTTTTAACAAATTTGATTTATCCTGCTAAAATGGTCATGATTTTAAAACTTATTTCAATGTCTTTTTTTTTTTTTACTCTCGTTTGTAAAAATAACCCATTCATACAACTTTTTGTTTTATGTGCGTGCATTTTCTTAAGTATTTTTCTTCATAATTAAAATTACTTAAACTTTTACGAAATTTTACAAACTGTCTTCAGAAAAAATTCCCTTTTTTTTTAATCTTGTAAAACTTTGAAATTTTTTTTTTTGTTTTGGCCGTTAGCAGTTTTTTTTTCACATTTGTCGTAAAAATTAGAATTTTTAAATAAGTAAAAGAAACCCTTGCAAGTCTTCTTAAAAAATGTTACTTGATATTTTATTTCAAAGTAAAATACCGCCACATCATTACATTTATTTAACTCTCTAAAAAGATACTTTTTGTTAGAAAAAAAAAAAAAAAAAAAAAAAAGGCATAACACCTCCACCAAATCCAACAATTCGTTTCTTTTTTTTAATTTAATTTTTGCTTCTTGGAATTCTTCAATCGAAATGAGTTTTCCTTAACGTTTTAATAACAATTTCTTTTCAAATGAATGGCTGGGCGGTGAGGGTAGTAAAGACAAACTTCACTACAAGAGATAGGAAGTTGTGGAGAGCCATAAAAGGACACGGCACATACAAATTTTTCCCTTTCTAGCTTTTTACACTTTAAATTACATCGAAGAAAACAATCATCCTCCGGTGTGTCGGTGTTGTTGGGTAATGTTAAAAACCGAAATTTAAATGAAAAATTTCGATCAAATTCAAGTTTTCCCCTTGTACGATCTTAAATTAACATTTAAATTATAAATAAATATATTAATAATACACAAGACTAAAACTGACGATTTTGTTCTCTGCTTCTTCATAGGAAAGTAACAACAAAAGTAAAACTACTCAAAGAAGCAGACAAATATTGGATAACAACCAAAATGTCCAGATAAATCTTTATTCTTATAAATAAAAAAAATTACATGCATATTGTTCTATATGCTAAGTAATGAACAAAAAATAAAACGGATTTACTTACATACATGAATATTGAATAATGTCCGTCTATAGAAGAATGTATCATTCTACATTACAAGCTGACAACTTAAATCTCTTCAATAAACAACTCTTGTTAAAATCTTAATCAATTCAGTTTCTTAAGATTCTTTTGTTCTTTTTCTTTCTTCAAATATTTTTCTTCCTTTTGAAACTTTCACTTCCTCAGGAACTGAAAAAATAAAACACAAAGCCTAACCCAGTCTAAGATCTTAAAATCTTATTCCAGGAAGAATATCCTTTAAAATATCTTTAAATCTTATTTTAAAATAAAGAATGTGAATAGGGGCAGAACTCCCCGCATCGAACGACTCTGCCAAACAAAAAGAAACGTTGACTCTCCGAGTCAACAAACAAATAAATCAAATGCAATAATTCCCCTTCTAGGGAATTAAATTACTTCTTTTAGCTTTGGATTTTCTACCGAAGCTAACAAAATCTCTTCAAAGTTTTTCAAATATAAACAAATCTCAGCTACGGAATTCTACCGAAGCTAATAAAATTTTCTCACACAGTCCTTCGATGCGAAAACTCGCCCTCCTCTCTATTCCCATCCATAAAAATAAAACCAGTAATATAGCTATTAAAAGCTAAATCAACTAACTTTATAAAAGGTAAATAATTCGAGTAACTTTATTTTACGTGGTAAACTTAATTAGTTAACCACGGAGCCAGAATATAAAACGTCTTAAACGACCGAGGATATCTGACTGAGGATAAAATCCTCTGATAAAAAAAGGAGTCGTCAGCAGCTTCCAATTCCATGAAAAAGAGCGGCAACATAAATTATTATCGTCCTGTTTTGCCATCAGACGCGTATTATACAAAATATTTTACCACTGAAGTTACTGAAAAGATGTCTTCTCACATTATTAATATTCTAAATTTCTGTAAATAATTTTCCAAACTATAAGTCGTATGAACATATTTGTTTAAATGACTTTCTTTACACATGGCAAACTGGACCCCCGCTACAACTTGTCATTTATTTTCTCTTCGTGTTAACTGTTAATGTTCTGAAATACTTCTATATCACTCAGTATGAAGAAAGTACTTGCCAAAAAATTATTTTTCTGGTCGCAGTGTCTATTTTTATGCCTCCACTTTTGTTAATCCTCTTTTAGTTAATACAAAAAAAATGATTTTTACGTTGCAAAGAAACTAAAACTTGTTTTATTACATAAATGATTAATTACAACCACTTTCTTACGTTTTCCTATTTCAAAACCGGATTTAACGAACTTATTCTACCTTCTTTTTTTTAACCAGCTTATCTTGCTTGGTTCCCCTGATGGCTTTGAGTTCTTTTATGAAAGTAGAAATTATCGTTACGCTTTTTTTTTTCTCCTCTTCGCTAAGAATTCTACGCATGGGACCATATTAAAATCAAATATTTAGCTCCATAAATCTCTAATTCCGATATCTCACTAGGAGGAAAAAATTTTTTTTATTGGGTACATTCATCACGTACTTAATTTTCCTTTTCTCGTCCATAAAAATTGTTGGTAATTCAGCTATAAAAAAATATTTGCATTCAATAAAACAGAATGAGACTTCAACTGGTTAACTTTTTCTTCTAAGATTTATTTAATTTACATGAGAATTTTTAGACAAACAGCAAAAAAAAAATTAAATCTGTTAATTATATGATTTAGTTATGAATTTTAAGACCTTTTCTGTTAATTCACCCCAAGTTACTTCTCGCAAATAATTCATCCCAAGAAATTTTAAATCAAAGTTTGTTTTTAATTTTTTCGCACACTCTTAAAATTAAATGTTAACATCTCCAACCCTCGGAATGAAAAATTACCAAAAATCAGGGACTTTTTTTTTTTTTTTTTTTTTTTTTTTTTCATAAAAGTTCAAGTGGTAAATTCCAGCTACTTGTAAGGGGTTTTTTCTACAATTTAAAGATCAGTTTTGGGGTTGAGCGCAAACGTTAGAAATAGCGCACCCGGAACGCCCACATATAGGTCGATCACAAATGTCAACCCAACCGGAGTGCAATGTAAGGGCCTCGCCCTGGGAGATCTTGATGTGCATCTTTTTATTTTGAATTAATATTTTCGTGAATATTTTAACATTTAGTTAATTTGGATTATAATCCACCAAAAACCAATTGTAATGAAAATTTTCCATTGGTGTAAAATTGCCTGATTATTTTGAAAATAAAGTTTGCGAACTCGAATACCGTTTACTTTTTTAGGAGTTATCGACAATCTAAGTTCGACCTCATTCGCGTTGCGCCAAAAGAAAGGCCGACTGGCTATGTTTACATTTACAATGCAAACGTTTGTCTCGACAATGCGCAGAAGCTTCACATGTACTGCGCAGTGCGCGAAATTTTAAAAAAGTAACCAACAGAAACCCTCACTATTCCAAATATATCAGTTAATGAAAAACGAAAAATAACAATTGTGCCTGAAAGGATAAATTTTTTTTTTTTTTTTTTTTCTTAAGGTAAATTTGCTTTTCAACGCCGAAACGCCCGCGCGCTAAATATCTCTTAAATTCTCCCAAATCGTCATAATTCCGTGTAAATGTACATGCTGAACTAGAATTAACAATTAAATTATAAAGAAACCTACCGTTTTGGAGTTATTGACAAGAAAATAATGTTCAGTAAATCAGTGCGGGGTACATCCGGCGGCGTAAGCACAAATTTTGGCCTATACTTCTCTTACAGACTTTCGGTGCAAAAGATCACTACGCACTACCGTAAAGCAATAACAAATTAAAAAGAACAAATTAAATAATACAGTTAAAGCTTTTTTTTTTTTTTTTTTTTTCCCCGAGTCCTCAGAATTAACGTAAAAACGGTAAAAATCATTCATTTGACACTTTTATAAAGTGAAGTTTCCGATTTAAAAATCTTGTAAAATTCAATTATACTTTTTGCAAAAGTTTTTTAGGAAAATTAGAAAATTTTAAGTATACTTAATGTAATTTGAAAGAAACATTACTTTTCCATCAGAAAATTAAGACATTTCCAACCGTGGTGCTTGGATTTTTGGGCCTGATTGAGCGGTGTTAACTGATGTACGTCAATCTGTCAACAACTTGCGTCAGGGGAATTTATCGGACGGTAGGACAAGTGATATAAATCTGTCTAGCTTAAGTGAACCAGTTTATTATATATATATATTTCCATTTTTTTTACCTTACGTTTGAGGGAGAATTTTTGAATAAAATAACATTTAAATTACGAAAAAAATACATTTATAGTTCAAATTTTATAAGACAAAAAATTTTGTAACAATATTGTTACTTATCTACACATAATTTTTTTTTTTTTTTTTTTTTTTTTTTTTTTTTTTTTTTTAAGGGTTCCTAGCCCCACTAAACTTAGTCAGTTCAGATTTGCCATAGTAAAAGTTTGTTTTTAACACCCACGGATCCGGGTGATGACATCAACACTGAACAGATTTTTTTTTTTTTTTTTTTTTTTTTGCCACATGTCTTTGACAAAAACGAGCATTTCAACAGCTATTTTTTAGTTATGAAATATTTTTCTGAGAATTTTTCCCAAAGACCCCTTTTTTGTTTCTATCCCTAAATTTGAATTAAAAAAAATAATTAATATTTGCAGTATGTCTCTCACTGAAAGAGTTTGATTATAAAAACAATTAGAAGAAAAGTTTTGACAATGCGACATTAATTAAAATTTGACAGTTGCGTCACTCAATCGGGGGGGAAAACTGTAACATGATATATATATATATATATATATATATATATATATATATATATATATAATGGGCCTCCGTAGTTTTGTCCGAGATTATTTTAATACATTTTTTTTTTCTTTTTTTAAATCATAAATTACTTTAAAATATGGCGTGTATATGGCAGATTGTAATAAGCTTTCTAATTTATGATCTATAAAAATAGATCTTTTTAATGAGCGAAAAAAA